TGGCAAAGTTTATTTAATTAACGTAATAATTATTTTTGAGTATATTTGAGTAAAATCTACGTAAAAAAAAATCTTTTTTTTGTTTTCACCGAGATACAACAATCAATTACCCACGTTACGGGTATCTTCTATTTCATTCACTGCTAAAATATTTTCTATCCAAGCGCTGCGTTTGCACAAACAAATTAAACTCACTAAAGTATCGTATTTTAATAAGCAACGAGTTGGAGCTTAATTTATAATCCAGCGATTTTTAATTTTCGTTCATCCCCTTTTTTGATCTGACTCGAGTGTTCTTTAATACGCTTTCGGGTGGAAAATGAAAACAAAAGTTGAACCTCTGGACCATTATTAACTACGTAATGGTATCGATCAGATTCGACTCTTAATAAAGAGCTGTTGGCATCAAACTCCTTGTTTTGGGAATGCACGAAGACTATCCATATGATATACGCTAGGTTACCGAAAGGGCTTTACATGTTTTTCGCAACAGTGATGAAGTGATACTTTTAAATAAAGTAGTACTGGATTCTGCTTTCTTTACCATCTACCGCGAGGTTGCTTGTTGACAAAGGTAACAGATAAGCTCATCATAATAATTAAAAACATTTTATTTTTATAACAGTATTTTACATAAATTTTGTACAATAATTTGCAAAACGAAACGTGACCAACAAATTACTACACGTATAATATAGTTCATAATAGTCCAATGTTTATTTAATATAAATAAACTAAATGTAGCACAGGTGTATTAACATTATTTACATATTTATACAAACCATAATGATCCACTTTCTATAGATGTTTTCTTTTATTAAACAAAACGTCTTTGTTAAACCAAATAAGTTTAAATAAGTATAATAAAAGCTAGCACATTGTGGGCTAACTGGTCTATAACATCTTGGCGATTTAATTTAAATGGTAGCTGAAGACGACAGAAAAAATAATAAGTCAATCCAAAAATATCGAAAATTGAATCAATAAGTAATTCAGAAATATGGTTTAAGTTATTACCATGTCAAATCTCCAGTGAACGATGTCTGAGATTGAGACTTTTAATTATGGGCAAAAATGATGAGAAACAGAAGTGTTACTTAAATTTCGAATCATTCTGAGATATCAGTCAATTAACCATTAATATTTAGGTTGAATTAAAAACATCGATTTTCCTTATTTCGGTGTTACGTTATCCACATGAATGAGCTTATTCGAAATTTATTTTCAGAATATTTTTTTACGCTAAAAGTTTGTTTTGTTGTTTTTTGCTGTTTCGTAGGACTTTTTTCTCTGCAGTCTTCACTTATCCAATAAAATGTACTAGGTATCTCAGTTTGCGGTTAACTCGACACTGTGCTAGTTTTTTGTGAAATGAAAAATGCGGACAACAAAATTATTATGGTCTTTGAGATACAAGGAGAAATCCAAAACTATCGATGTTGGGGCCACCCTTGTATCCCCTTTTTCTGTTGAAGAGTTTAAAAGACGTTCTTATTGGATTTTTTCTGTTCCGTAGAATCCAGTGGCGTTCGCTTTAACTTGCTCCAACAGTTTTTTAGTTATGAAGCAAATATATTTTTTAAAATGAACACCGAATACATTATTTTTTTACATAAATTGGAAATCATGTAACCTTTTCAGAAATATGCATTAGTATAAAGTTGTTTTGAAAATTAAGTTCAAAATTTATTTTTTTTTTTCATTTATTTTTTATTTGTAGCAGTAGGCTATAATTAATCTATTAAAAATAATATCGAAGTAAACAATTATTAACATACAAGAAACTCAATACTATAAAATTTAATTATTTAAATGTATTTTATACGTTATGAACTACTATTTGTAATAATTTTCTACTTATTATAGTCTATTAATTGACACGAAATAACATTATATCTAAAGAATATTAACACAATAATATATTACACACACTTATATAATTACATCTAAAACTGTTGTTCCAATTGGACACCATTTTCCTGATTGCAAAACTCGCACATTTAAAAGAGTTATTGGTCTCCTTTGAGTTTCGAAAGTTAAATCAATGGCCCCTCAAAGTTCTCCTACAGATTCGTATCGTGTTTTATATACTTTATTTTGCATATATCCCGACAAAAAGAAATCTAAAACTGAAGGATCCGGAGATCGTGGAGGCCATCTTACAGGTCCGTTGGTACCTATTCATTTTTGGGGGAAGTTGTTATTAAAAATGGTCTTTCTTTGAGTCGTAGCCAACTATCTACTTAACATTATAACAACATAATATTTATTATTATAATAACATAATATTTATCATTATAATAACATAATATTTATCATTATATTAAATTTTTTTAAAAATCTGTTTTCATTATGTGTTGTTCGAAATTAAGTAAGTTTCTTGTATAGCAATAATAATAACTGCTTAGAAGTATCTTATTTTTAGTTGTTTTAGTTGATTTACTATGGCCTACTGCTACAAATTAAGTAAAAAATGAAGAAAAAATAAAGGATTTTTTAGCTTAAGTTTCGAAACAACTTTATACTAATATATGTTTTTGAAAAGTTTAAATGATTTCCAATTAATGTAAAAAATAATGTGGTGTTCCTTAAAAAAAAATTGCTTCGTGACTAAAAAAACGGTTAGAGTAAGTAAAAAACAAACGCCACTGGATTCTGCGGAAAAAAGTCCTATATGAACGTTCTTAAACTCTTTAATAACTCATAAGACAACGGAGATATGCGGTTGGTTCCAAAATCGATAGCATCACAGTGCCCCTTAAACCGCGACTCTATATCATTAAAAATAACTGAGATACCCCGTAAAAGTGTCCAAAATGGGGTACCCTGCACAATGGCGTCTTGTGCAATACAACAAGTACAAGCTTTCCAGGGTGGTAATCAACGATAAACCTAATAGTCCACACCAAAGGGCTCTTTTTGCTTTCTGATTACCAACATGTCTTTTTACTTACTAAAACTTTTAGATATTCGCGGTTTAGGAGATTAGAGGACATTCCTCAATTTATTCACATCGTAAGATTGACAAATTTTCGGTGGCGATTTTGAATCTTTGGATGACACTTACTTCCGAATTGTCACAAGATTTAGATGAGATTTAACCCTCAGTAATAAAATTTGCTTATGAAAATTATCCCAGAGGAAAAGGCTGGTCGTCCACTGAATGCATTTTTTTACTTTCATTGGACAAGGGAGTAAGTGAAATAATCTGGAGGATTATCTTTTGGAAACTACTGCTCTTATTAGAGACTGACTGCTTAAAAGAAAAAAGCGCTGCATTAACGATATTTTAGCAAAACGACACTAACTGAGTATGCACTTCGGCTTATAACAATAGGAAAAATAATTATAAGGTTTTTTTCATTTCAAGAATTAAATACATTATTTGCAATTGGTTTTGGTTTGGTTTGTTTTTCTATCGGCTTAAACTAATATACAAAATTATTTTACTGTCCTTTATCCGCTACCCCTACTTTTTCTTTTTCAAAATTTTATATCTAAAGAGTTACGCAAAACTGATTTGAACTCCTAACTACCAAAATATGAATCTACATCAACTCCTAACATATTTCCACTGCCACTTCTTGCCACAATTTTGATTTACTTGTCTGCCTTATTACACAAAGATTATTTTTTCATAAATTTCATTTCATAAAATAAGTGGTTACGTTTTAAAAAATGAGTCCAGCATACTCACGAAACATATATTATTTTTAGTAACTCTTATTCAGTAGATATTTCATAAAGTTGGGCAAAAAATTCCTTCTATTTATCCTTGTGAAAGTTTTCGTCTCGATTGTTTCATACCATTATATACGAGAGTTCCAATTTACTTTTATTTACAACCCACCCTTTTTCTAACCATTGCCTATAAATCGCGCATCTCTAGTGCGGCTAGTGTGCAAGTCAATTAAAGTAATATTTGTAGTACTATACTATACTAAAATTGATCAATCTAATTTACTCGATAATAATCTTTGTGCGATATGACCAACACATCAAATCGAAATTATTGCAGTTATGTGTTAACTGTTTAGGTAGGGTTAATAATTTAGAGGCCCATTTTGTGTTTTTTATATGAAATTTTTGCCAAAAAAAAATTATTTTCTACTCCCGTCTGTAAAATACTTAATTAATTTTACCGCACGGATTTGGGAGCGATCGGATGTTTTCGGAGATATTTCCCAAGCTTTGAATTTTGACGTCAATTCTGACGGTCATGTAAGTGAATGTATTCGTGTTGTTTTGCGAAAATGGACCCAAAAACTAACGGTCGTAGAAAAAGTATAGTATACAACACGTTCGGTAAACTTTTTAAGTCACTCGTTTATTAAACACTCGCTCCGCTGCCTTTCGCTCGTGTCATATAAACTCGAGAGTCAAATGCCATTTACCGCACTTGTTGCACAATGTACAATTAACATTAAATAGTGTTTGGCGATCCAAATAGTATTAATTTCAAATGATGTATTCCTGTTCAAGTGTCAAGATGAAAACTAGGGTTTATAAGAAGTGGTTCCACCATTGGTTTAATTTTGCTAAAATATGATTAACCTACTAGATAAAGACTGCACGAGTACGTTGACTTACGGACAACAGATTCACGGATAGTGAAGTAACTTTATATATTATTCTGTATGATTGTTAATAGGCTTCAATAAAACAGAATCAAGCATTTCCACGATGTCTAACGAATACGTTTCGGGCGAAAATACGCATCCATAGGACGGCCCGCCAAAACGTCGCGAAATATTAGTATGTTAGTAATCAGAAATTAAAAACGGGTCCCTGTACTGTTGTTCGTAATATCCGCGAGCGTATTAGTTGTTACAGGGACTCGAACTGTCCCTTCCGGAGTTGGTTTCCCTATAGTCCCTCATAGACGACGCGGCAGAAGTGGTCGCGGCGGCGGCAGCGCTATTCGAGCTAGTAGCAAGATTCGCAATATCACTAAACCACGTTCCAAGGTTCAACCGTTCCGGAAGAACCGGAAGTGGTTTTCATATAACGTGCGCTGGCACCGGATCGTTCCGGAATTCGTCGTTTTTCATTATGACGCAGACCGGTCTCTTTATGGCGTCCGGACTGGGCGTCCGTCTGGCAAATGGCGGCGGGCAAATATTACACGGACTACCGTTAACGTTATTTGCAGTGAGATTGCTAATTGGCCAGTTTATGCCCGGCGGATATAGCGGGTTATTGCTGTACAATAACGCGAGTTCCGCTGCAAATTTCGATTCATCCGGATGCCGGAACGGATGGTATAAATATGGTAACGGAGGGAATAACGATCTGGAAAGTTTCAGATGGTCCGGGTCGTGATTTAAGAGGGGCGAGAGACCCGACGATTGGGATATGGGGGGCATCAGGGACCGTTGTAGACCAGGATTATCCATCGACGGCGAGATGAGAGGCGACATCGAGAAACCAAATTTTGGTTCCTTTTTAAGCAACGGTTTTGGTTTCCGTCGAGGTCGGTATTTGTAGTCGGGATGTTCCTTCATGTGCAGAGCCCTGGAACAAGAAAAAGATCGTTTTATCAAGGGAATTAAAGGATTTTTACACAGTATAATGTATCCCGGATGAGCAGTGTCGCTAACGATCACTTTCAGATGCGCTTTTTTAGTATTTCCAAAAAAAATCATTATGAAAATTCTGAGTTTACTATAAGCATAAACAAAAACAACCAGAATTCAATTCATTTTAAATTTTGGTCAGGTTCAGTGGATGTTCGTATGTTTGTTATTCCACAGAATATGTTTATATAATTATGCAATCAATTATCATATGAAATTTTAAATCTGCCATGACATACAACAAAAAATTCTAATAAGGGTTGTACGGTTTTCTTTCTGTAACTACGTATTTTGTTATTTTGCAACAGTGGCAACAGTGCCCAACTTCTAAAAGGAGAGCGCGCCCGTGTCCCGAAAAAGGGTTTACCAGACTTGTATATATTTTCGTATAGGCAGGTTGTTGTAATAGGCTCTGAGGTGCCAGTGAAATTACATTGTTCATTTGACAAATAAATTAATAAGCAGTCCATAGATTTCTAATTTTTTAACAAAGGATTCGCTCAGCGTTGCACTCATCAAAACAAGGGTCTCAGATCGACATCACATTATACATGTTTGAGTTTAAAATGTTTGATAAATTAAAATTAAAATACTATAGTCTAGTAACGAATCAGCTGGTCTTGCCTCATCGTTTCTTAGCGGTCGACCGTGAAACGATTTTCCATAGAGATTCATACTTTCGGCTCTGTTTATTGTTTATACCGCAGACATTACCTCTACAAAATATTACTGAACAACTGCCGCGGATGACATTCGATTATATTGCACTTTTGATAAAAGCTGGTGTTAATCGAAAAAATGTAAGCAAATCAAAGAAACGCCAAAAATCTAACATTTCTTCTAGATTTATCCAACACACAAAAAAATTGAACCAAGAAATTCTTTTTAATAGATATCTCTTAAAGTTTAAACTCAAAAAAATGTTGTTTGATGGTTAGTGCTTTCAAAATATCCTTATTGCCGATTTTATAATAATAATCGTTATAAAAATAATTTTACTGTGGCTCTCCACAAAACAATTATCTTTCAAGGAAGTTTTAACAACTCCATTCCTAACGAATTCAAACTTAACTTCAACAAATTCAAATCTAAGTTTCGGTACCACCTATTAAATTCGCAGTGATGCATCTCCCAATTAAATATGTCTGAACGTTTTTCATAACATCTCTGTAAAGGAGCTTGCAGTTATGACCGGTTTAAATAATTATACCGTGCTAATTTTGTTATCTTTTATTTCCATTTTGAACATATTTATTAGTTTCCAACATTACTTAGTGAATAGTAGATGTAGTATTGTTTTTTTTTCTCAATTTTTAATTCGGATGTTTTCACCTTCGTTGATTTGTGGTTGAGAGGGAGTAGCCCCTGCGAGGTAAACTTCGCCACCCAGCCATTGGTATTACTTCCTAATGTGTTCTTGTTGTCATAATTTATTTGAATTTATTTTTCAATTACACAGGTCTATTGTGATTTTGAAAGTTGTTTGCTTATTTGTATATTTTTCGAGGCTCCTTTCCAAAAAACGCTATATTTTTGAGCTATCACGCCATTCTTTTATAGCGCTCTATATGATTTTTAAATGAATTGATTTTTATGAAATTAAATATGATTTGACAACACTGGATAATATTAGATTTCTCTGCAAAGCCACAGAGTTGGCGCAGAAGCGGGAATAAAGCGTTGTAACCTGCCTATGCGCAGTTTGGTTGTACTGGTCGTGTGCAGGTGTTGTATGCGTTGTGCTGTATCCGTTGAAGACATTGTTTGAACAATCCAAATAACTTTTGTTATATCTGTGGTAGTTATGACGTAGTAAAGCAAAGGCAAACTATAACTTTTTTTGTGAGAAATGTATACCGGGCTTATTTTTGTGTGTGCGACCAAAACAAGTCCTGGGGTCCGCATACTGTTTGTTCCGTCTGCGTTGAAGCATTAAGAAACTGGCAAAAAGGTTGGAAGAAATGTTTAAGCTATGGAAAAATAAGAAATAATAATAAATAAAAAAATAAAAAATAAGAATCAAATTTTGTACGTTTTGTTATAATTTTTATAAATATTATTATTATTATTATTATTATCTGGAATCAATAAACCTGTCAATAGACTTTCGTTCTCCAATGGTTATGTATGCCATGTGATCCTCAACATATAAAATATTAAAATATTTTTAGTATATCACAATATTCCATAGGCACATACTAACAACAAAATAATTCAAAAAACATCGCAGAAATCTCTTGAATTTGAAAAAACCAAAACCACCGCTCGAAAAGAAACTCAAGATGACTGAAGTCGGCGAAGTGTATAAAGGTTAGGTAAACGGCATGGAATGTCACTCCTAGTTAGACGCAGTAAATAAAAACAAGTGTTTCTACTAAACAAATTTTGATTTGCATGTTTTGTGCAAATTTTTCACAAGAACAGCAAGAGTTTAGTTGGTCTGACGTATAAATTATAGATAGACTGCGATTCAGTAGCTAATGGCTGCGTGCGCATAAACCAAAAAATAAGTAGAGAATATAGGGTAAATTATTAGACTTTTATTTTCAGAAAGCAGAGAAAACGTCAATGATTTTTCAAACAAACTTCCACAGGCTACTGTAATACTTTTTATAAAACTGACTTGACTCAGTTTCAGTCAAGCTCTGAAGAAGCCAACAGGATGTTTGGCGAAACGTTAGCTAGTTTGATTCAACAAAAACCGACGCATGAGGAATACAGAAGTTTTATAAAAAGTAAAACATCCATAAGTTGCGGCGGACCTGATATCCCACACCTAGACAATCTGTATTCATTATATGGATTTTTAACTTGAAGTTCTTCTTCAAGTTAATGAATGTATTTCAAAAAAATGCCCAATTAATTTAAATTAATTAATTTCTGCATAGTGGTAAAATTAAAGCAACGTTATATAGTGCCGTGTACGTGTGTGTTTAGAAAATGAGTTTGATTTTTTTTTTCATAATATATGCATTATTAGAAAGTTGTTGGCTGCTTTTGGTTACTTTTGCAGCCGAGAAACAGTACCCAACTTTTCAACTCTAGTAACTCAACTCAACTAACCTTGACCTTACAGAGTAGATTCTTTGCAAAAATGTGTGAAAGAAAAGCTTTTCATTGTGAAAAGTTTTTCAGTTAACCTATTCAACTGTAACAACTGGCAATTTTCGATATCGTAAATATGAAAATTCATTTTTAATATTCATAATCTAATATTATAACTACGATTCTCTGAAGTTTTGACAAATTTGAGTGACAAAGCAAAAACGCCATAATTTTCCAATTAATTTAACATTACCATGAGTATAAATAATTTAATAAAAATAATAATGACAGACGTTGGCTCTTTCTAATTTCTTTGATTTTTTTAGAAGTTTTGACCTAGTTCCTTTTGCACTTTCTTCAATTATGCGTTTCCCATTTCTCCTTTTGTTTACTCATGTTCGAAAATGAAAAATAAACATGTTTTATTTCAAACTCCGGGTAGAATTATTAATTACATTAATCTATTATATACTTTGAGTTTGTGATTCCAACTTACGCGCACTTATTGTAAAGGGTTAGGTAAAACTAAGAAATCAAATTGTCTTGATGCGGGCGAGGTTTTAAATGAAATCTATTAAAACTCTCTTTAAACCTTCGATTGGCTAAGGAACCGTTTTTCCAAAAGTTATTCCAGATAGAATGGCGGCACATTAAACTCGACCAGGGCACACAATACACTATCTAAGCCAACATATTCAGCTGGCGACAAAAGATAATGCCGTTATTGTGAGGACACATTGAGCACCTCCTGTGATCCCATTCATAGAAAGAGATTGTCTATCTCGGATTCTGTCTCAAATCCTTTCGATCACAATGGCCCTTTCACACGCCACTTCCTTTTGTTTTAAATGCGGAATTGGTGTATTTACATCAGCAGACGAGACTTATTTAATTCTGAGGAGAAAATCGACTAGAGAAATTTATTGTGCGGAACATTATATGTCATGCCTCATATTTACTTACCAAATTTTATTTTCTTATACAAATGTTAATTAGAAATTTATATTTCTAGTTCCCAAAATCAATGAAAAAATCGCCTGTATAAAAAATTCGGACAACCCTATTGTTAGGAAAAACTATGTATAGATTTCAAAGTCTCAAAGGGTAACCTCTTCGGCAGGAAAAATTCTCTTGCATCTTTTTGATTTCGAATTAAAAATATTAATACATTCATTTTCTTGGAACCTTAAAATATATAACAGCCAGTTTTTAACTACGTATAAGAGAATAATAAAATGTTATTCCAAAAAAATTAATTCCACCAACATTTTTCGACCATTAAATGATTAATCAGTTGACATATTGTAAGTCACTCTATATATGCAACAAAGAAGTTCAATTTGAGTATGTATATATAATAGCAGCTTATATCCATTTCAGGGGATAGATGCCGGGAAATAGATCGTTTTAATTTATTGTGTTACCATTTTTCTTTACCATATACAATATGTCTTTGAAACGTGTTTAACAAAAACCCTACTGGAGAGTGGTATTTCATATATGCAGAATTTCAGAAGTACCATTTGCTTTCAGTTTTTTATAAATAGGGTTTGTCATAACTTGGGAGTTTTAAGGACAAAAATTTTAATTCCAGTTTCGTTTTCTTGATAAAATTTGGAGGGAGCCGCCTGCATTGCAAAAAATCTCTAATTGGTTGCGTTAAATTACTTATCCGCTTACAATATTGTATTAAGGAGATACAAGAACAAAGTAAAGGCTTCTCTTTAACTTTTTTAAATTCAAATATCTCAAAAACGGCTGCTAAAATTAATTGTTATCATATCTATCTCTTTTCAAGAAGACGAATTTTTCCCTGAAAGGTAAATGTAGTGTCACAAAAACTACAATTATTTATGAAAGTAAAACCAAATCGATCTTTCGCTACTCGGTATC